GCAAGCACAGAGGCAAGAGAGGCACTCAGGAAGAGCCAGCTCCTCCGTGGCAGCAGTCACAGCTCTCGGAGTAGGCACGTCTGGTGTCCCTGGAGGTGAGGGGGCACTGGGCCCTGGAGGGCTGAGGCCACGGAGTGTGCAAGGGCAAGGCGGGGCCTGGGAGTCGAGGGGCAGCAGAGCAGGAGCTGGTGCTGAGTCCTGCCTGTCTCATGCTGCGGTGCCAGCCTGGTGCTCACGGCAGGTGGACCTCCCCACAGCGAGCAACCAGGGTGGGCCTTTGTGCTACCGGAGTGATGTCACAGAGGAAGCAGCCATGTGGGGACAGGGCCGGCTCAGTACAGGAGCACAGTGACCAGCCCAGAGCACTGTGGTGACCGGGGAGAAGGGGATCCTCTAGGGAGCCTGGCCCTGGGGACCCTGGACAGCAACTTCCACCAGCGACGGCCTCAGGGCCCTGGGGAGCAGGCGGGGCCCTGGGTCCTGTCAGAGCATCCGTCTGGCCTACGTGGACGGCATGACCCTCCAGCCGAGGAAGCCTGTGAGGTCTGCCGCTGTGGTGGGGACTCAGGGGCCAGACCAGGACGGTCAGTGCCCTGGGAGCAGACGCCGGCAGAAACCAGGTACAGCAGTCACCACACTTGGGCCACGCGCCATAGCGGCCCTGGCAATGCCACGCAGCGGGGCTCCTCTCATGCCACCCCGGCCACGCTGCCCAGCACCCGAGTGACTGTCCCTCCCACCCAGCACCTCTGGAGAGGAAGGCACGTTCAGAATGAAGACAGGCCGACGTAGGCACAGCTCCCCATGTGACAGCCAAGATGAGCACTTTTTAAAATCTGAATTTCCGTATGATTGGCTGCACTTTTAAAATAATCCAACCATTTTTTCAGCTCAATGCTAGATCCTATTAGAGCCCACAGTGGGAAATGAGGCCCGGCCTGGGAGCGAGAGAAGGCCCTGGACACACCTCCTGCAAACACGAGGGCTTCCAAAGAGCACGTGCAACTTAGAGCCTCACACGATCTTTTGCAAAATCCACATCAAAACCAACACAAGATCCCTGCACAAACAGAGAAGTCTCATTGCACAGGCATTGAGGGACAGTTTTGGGAAGCAGGAGGTGGGGCTTGGGATAAAGGACCATCCAGTCACTGGGAGAAGACACGGGAGCCCCATGAGGCTCACAGGGGTCACAGGGAGGAGCAGGACGGATGAGCCGGGCCCGCCGGATTCTCTGCTCCTGCGCCGCCAACACAGGCCCGAGGTGACAGGAGATTCACTGCCTTCCACGCTGCTCCTGATTGCAGAGATTTTATTGCTGTGAACTACAAGCCATCACCTTCCCGGAGAGGAAAGGAGGAAATAAATCTTGCCTGGAGCAGGGAGGAGAGGGCGACTGGAGCCTGGGGACAAAAGCCAACGCTCCTCCCTTCACTCATGAGGAGCACAGAGGCCCCTCAGTCACCTGACATCTAAACCTCACCCAGCAAGCAGCGTGCAGGTGCGGGTTTTCAGGGGGAAGCAGGGAGTGTGGGGCAGAGTGAGAAGACACTGTGGAGAGGCAGGAATAGGAGAGGGATGCGTCCCCACCCCATACCACAGCCACACAGACCCTGCAGACTCGGGGGCTTCGGGGGCGGTCAGGTCAGATATAAAACTCAATAGAAACAGCAGAAAACAGGAACAAGATCTCTTAGGACAAAAGGCTCAGTGTTTCCTGATTCAATTAGGGAAAAAACTGAAGGAGGAAACGCAGCTTCTGGACGCTACAGCACAAGCCTGAGCACAGGGCCATGTGACCGAGGAGAGAAGGCACACCGTGGAGATTACTCCGCCAACAGAAAGAGGAGAAATCCCCTCAGAGCACAGCGCTGCAGGCGAGCTCCGCTTCTCACCATCACGCTCCGTCTCGTGAGATCGGAGCACGGAAACCGCATTAGGACAATTTACCGTTGCTTGGAAACAATAAATTAACAGGACTGCTTGCTATTTTGCATCTCCTTCTAATAAAATACCCAGCCAGGGTCACAGGCAAGGTGACTGCAGCACAGACAGCGCTGGCTCCAGACTGCAGCTCCGGGAAGAGCATGGCGAGGGGACCGGGCCGCATCCCGCACGTGTCCCGACCTGAGGCTGCGCCTCCACCAGCACCCACTCTGCGTGATTCACGCAGGGCTCGTGCATAGCACATGGGACCAGGACGGCCAGCGTTTCCTCTTCCCAGGGAGCACACCCCTGTCGCAAACAAACCAAAGACTGTTCTGTTTTGGGGACTCCGATCTAAGATCAAAAGGTCCCCAAGACTTGGGCTGACACCTATCCGGTCTCCTAACTAGCTGGGCTGTGGAGGATGGGGCCAGGGTTGTTGCGCAGGTGTGCCGCTTTCTGCACTGTGACAAGCACCTGTGGAAACGTCCATGGCACCTCGGCCCAGCTCCAGGCCGTGGGGTGCAGATCGCAGGTAGGGTCATGGTCCCAGGGGCCCAGCCCACTGCTGATGCATTCTGGGAACAGTGGGCTTTGTCAGACGTGGCTGGACCTCGAGTGTGAGATGCCGGGATGAAGGCGTGTGACCCCTAAGTCAGCCCACTCACAGGCACGGCACTCCGACTCCAGGCAGGCTGGACGAGACGACAGGGCAGAACCACGCTGCTGAGGTTTCTCGTTGCTTCTGCTGTCTTACCACCACCGTGAATGGTTGCTGCTTTGCCACGTGCCAGCCTGCCTTGGAGCCAGCTGATAATGGACTGCGACCTCTACACTCTGGGAGCTAAATAAGCCTTTCCCCTTTAACTTTGGTTGACAAGTATTTTGTCTCAGCAACGAGAAAAGTAACTGAGGATAGGAGGCAACCAACACAGCCCCTGAGCAGCCCCCAGTCCCATGCCCGAGGCCCACACCTGCACACTTCTTCCAGAGCTGGCCTGGGGCAGGCTTCTCCTGGCGGCTTCGTGCACAGCCCTGGACGCCCTGAGGAGCCGGAGACGGCGGGCTCCTGCCATGCCCAGTGCGGCCTTGAGTGGGTTAGTGAGCTCACATCGCCCCCTCCCAGGGGACACGGGGCTAATGAACATGAAGGTACTCACCCAGGAGGACGTGACTGGGCAAAAGACCCGGGATGGGGAGCTGGCGGTTGGTTGCCACCGCTCCCCGGATCACACAGCCAACCACCTCCCATGGCAGAGATTCACCTCCTGGCTCCTGGCAGGTGGGGGCCAAAGTTACTATCTGAAAGGGACAGGACCCCTGGCCGTGGATAGAGGGAAGCGGGGGTTAGCCACAGAGAGGGCAGGGACAGAGTGGGCATCCAAATGTCCAGCACGGCCATCCACGCCTCACTGTGGGGTCAGGAGCCCACAGCGCCGACTCCACAGCACGCTACGGTCATTTTCTCTACATAATAGCGAACTGTGCAAATCATGTGCTCAGGAAGACGGGGCGCAGGGGAGCCCCTGGCGCAGCACCCAGCAGCAGTGCAGCAAGGCCCCCATGACCAGGGGGACACAGGGGACACAGAAGTGCAGGCGAGTGGAAAGCAGTGGAAAGACTTGAAACTGGCCGTTTCAAAGTAAAAGTCACTGACACCTGCACGCTGCGGGGGGGGGGGGTGTCTGCTCCTGGAAGGGAGGAGGGAGCTAGGAGAGGCCCCTCCCCTCGCCTCCAGCCACCCCCAGACAACCGACCGAGGCAGCCTGCCGGACCTAGGCCAGAGAACACAAGACTCTCAGGGGCATCTGAACTTCACAAAGATATATATATACCTCTGCCCTACGCAGAACGCATTACGCACCTACCACCATGCGTGAGATCCACAGGATGTTCACCTACTGAAAAATTACTTGTTGTGTACCTGAAATTCAGGTTCACCTGGATGTCCTATAGTCTGCTAACTCCTCCCTTCACCCTTGGCATCGGCCATGGATGGGACCAGTGACAGTTGGGGTGGTAGGGACACTGGTGACCAGCTTCGGGGCTTCTCCCTCATTGTGCTTTCCCTGGAGCCCCCACAGCCAAAACCCACCCTTCCCTGTAGAAATGAGCACCTCCTTTAGGGCTGGCAAGATAGCTCAGTGAACTAAGCACTTGCTTAGGCAAGCGCAGGGGCCAGGGTTCGATCCCTGGCACCACACGTCCTGCCTGCCCCACCCCTGGGCACACTGAGCTGGCAATAGAGTCCGGGAGTGGTGGCGCATGCCTGTAATCCCAGCTCTAGGGAGGCAGAAATTAGGAAGATCACTATGAGTCTGAGCTGCATAGTGAAACCCTGCGCGCACACACACACACACACACACACACACACACATTTAAAAAAATGAAATGAGACGTCCCCTACCCCAGCAGGTGCTCAGCCCCTAGAGGGGCACACAGGCTTGGTGGGTCTGAACCCCGGGCCAGGGCAAGGTGGGGCCAGGGTCTGAGCCTGGAGCCTGGCTGGAGGCTGTGTGGACCCCACCCTGTGTCCCCACTTGCATTGGCAGTGGGTTTCCTGCCCCGCAACCCCAGACCTCCACACAGATTCAGAAAGAGAGAGACCGAGAGACAGAGACCGAGAGACCGAGGAGACAGAGAGAGGCAGAGAGAGACGCTGCATTCCGGCTCCCAAGAACGTGGCTGCCTGCAGAGCTTACAGCTCAGCCCGCAACCGCAGAAACAGGAGGAAGCGCTGGCACCCCACAAGGCACGGGCCAAGCTTGACGAGGCCACGGCGCAATCTGTTCTCACTCGGTGCAGAGAAAATTAATTTCTGAAGACATTTCACTTAACTTTGCAGCACTGCACCGTTTAGGCTCCGACGCTGCGGCATTTTCTTTCATATGCTCCTCTCCCCTTAAGGCGTAGGATGGGGTACACAGCTCTACCTCAGGTGGTGAGTGTGGGGTGAGCTGTGCCTGACCGGGGGAGGATGGGCCAGGGAACCCGGCCTTCGCTCTTCCCTGCCTACGTACGGGACAGGCCTGTGAAGACCCATAGCGGGACCTGGGAACGGCGGGGCTGGTTACCTTCCAGAGCCAGGCACCGGGGTGGGCTGGATGACCAGATCAGGCTGGGCAAGCACTCCAGGTACTCCGCGCCCTCGAGCTTGAACCCTGGGAAGCAGCGGTAGGCGACCACAGTCCCCACGGGGAAGGCGCTCTGGGACTCGGAGATGTTCACATAGCCGTTGGAGGAGGCCAGGGGCCTGAGGCAGCCTGGAAAACATGGAGAAACAGACACGCTTCACTCTCGCCTGTCTACATCCAAGGGCAACAGACCAGTGCGCTAGGGCCTGCCCCCCTGCTGCAGACGGCACGGCCCTGGGAGCCAGCACCGTGGTCCCCTGACCATTGGATTTGCAAGGCAAAGGCACTAAGGGGGTCAGACGCAGCGGCCAGAAGCGGGTGACACCAGCGGGCACACCCAGCCCCAGGTGCTCAGAGAGGCTCTCGGGTCACACCATGGCCAGGGCCTGGGGGAGTCTGGGGAACACTCTCTCACAGCTCTAAGCTGTCCTGACACCGCCAGGAATCAGAGCCACTGTGGGGCACTTGGAACAGGAGGCTCAGCTGCAGTCTCGACTCCGTGCCGGCCTACTGTAGGCCGGCCGCATGGCTGAGCCAGCCCTGTCTGACAGGAAATCGGCTGGGGTTTGCTAGACATCAGTGGGGAATCCTCAGTGTTGTGGGACTCAGGTGTGGACAGGCTGTGGACTGCTGGGTGCACCCAGGGACCTGTTCCTGTGGCCGGGGCGCGGGGAGAGCACACCCAGGGAGAGGCAGACCCAGGCTTGCTTCAGGTGGGAAGCTGGGCCATGCTCCCCCCACGTAGGCACCGCCATCCTCGGTCCTCAAGCCTGGGCAGTACAGCACCACCCCAGAGGCTCTGACCCGCGGTGGCCACAGCAACCACAGGGTCTCACGGAGCTCAGGTCACTTCACTGCTGGGACCGGGACCCTGTGGAGTTGCAGCTCTCGCTGGGGGGCACTGACTGCCTGTGAAATGAGTGCCCACAACACTTGCTCCAGCCAGGCACGGCAGGGCACAGCTGCCATCCTAGCACTCAAGAACCTGAGTTGGGAGGGTCACAAGTTCAAGTCCAAGCTGTGCAACTGACTTAGTGAGACCTTGTGTCAAAATAAGAATTAGAAAGAGCTGGGGATGTAGCTCAAGGCAAAAACCTTGGGTTCATCCTTGGTATTGTAAGGAGAGAGAGAGAGAGAGAGAGAGAGAGAGAGAGAGAGAGAGAGAGAGCGAGAGAGAGAGAGTTCTCTGCAGACTGCAGGGTTGCACTGCCCTACATGTTTGGGGAACAGACCACCCCACCCACAGACACACTGCGCCCATGTAAAAGGGCACATCCTGCTACACTGAGGACTCCTCACTGAAGTCTAGCAAACCCCAGCCGATCTCCTACATCAGACAGGGCTGGCTCAGCCATGCGGCCGGCCCACAGTCGTACGGGATGGAATTGCGTGCGTAGCCAAGCCTCCCGTGGCAGGCGCTGTCGTGGCAGCACTGAGCCCTCTTTTCTCATGCGCCCCGAAGTAGCTCTCAGCCCTGGCAGGGTTAAAACAACTTAGAGCCTTAAGAAATAGAGATCCCCAGACTCCCCCAGGCCCCGGGCATGGTGTGACCCGAGAGCCACGCTGCGCACCTAGGCAGGGTGTACCCACCGGCATCACTCACCCTGGCCACAGTGCCACGTGAGCAGCGCTCTGCTGATGGTCCCTGCTTAGCAGCACCAAGGGCTCCCCAAACAGGACGTCCTAGAATGCTCTGCTCTGAGCCCAACACGACAAGGACAGTGGCAGAGCTGGGGTGTGCGGGCACAGTTGAGTCGGGGGTCAGGAACAGCAGAATCCGCAACTGAGAAACCAGGGCTGAGCAGATGCGCCGCAACTCTCAGGCACAGTGCTCCTGGGCTGGCGCGGGCCGTGTGCCCACCCTGCCTCCTGGCAGAGCTGCAGCGCCCACGGGAGTGGGCTTCCTCCGAACAGTCTGCCTCCCACCGGCGTGAGCAGAGGCGTAGGCCACCTTCTGCATAGCAAGGTTCCCACTGAAAAATAGCGCTGGGGCAGCCCATGCCCAGCCCAGAGCGACAGCAAGGCCCACGGGTCCTGCTGGTCGCTGCAGTCAGGGGTCGGTGTGGGCACGTCCTGCCCTGAGTGAGAAAAAGGGCTCTGCGCACGCGCTCAGCGATCCCCACGGCACCTCTGGGCAGCAGGAAGAGGCCCGTTAGGTGTGAGTCTCTCCATCCACAGGAGCAGACACAAGTCAGAGAGCAAGATACTGCTCTAAGGGATGATTATGGTCCCCAAGGGGCCTGGAGAGCTGTCATGCTGCCCACGGCGAATGCGGCGCCTCATTCCCGGCGTGCACCAGGTGCCGTCCTCTGGATCCCAGTGTGCGCTCTGTGGTGCAAAGTGCGCTGGAGTCTCAGGAGCGCCAGCCAGGGCAGCTGCAGCTCAGCGCGTGCTCACCTGCCAGCCAGGCTCTTGGGTCCCTCACAGCCGCACAGAGACCGGCGGGCGCAGTCGGGGGACCCAGCACGGCCACACCTGACCAGAGCTGGAGCTGGGCAGCACGAGTAGCCGGCCAAGCAACAGGACCGTGAGGCTGAACTCAAGTGGCCTGAAGAGGGAAGCCAGCAGGGCACTCGGAACAGCCCAGGGGAGAGGCTCTCCCAGGAAGCACGCAATATGGTGTGGTACCATAAGAGGAATAAGGAAGGGAGGAAGCCAAGGATCCTGGGAGATGGGAAGGCGCGCAGCGGCAGAGACCTGGGAGGACCCCCGCCGCGACGTGACAGGACAGGCCAGCAGCCCCCAGCGGAGTGGCAGGGGCGTGTCCTCTGCTGTCTGTCCTATACCATCCTATACCAAAGCCTCATCGCCTCTTCAGCTCCCGCGCAGAGACAATTTATATGGTGACAGGGCACACTGCAGTATCAGACTGGCAGCTGTGACTCCTAAGGACAAAGACAGCCCCCTTGCCTGGCAACAAACAAGCTCGCCCTCCCCTCCCTCAGGGCATGCAGGGTGGGTTGGCTGCCTGCGCCTGTGGTCTTACTCGTGCATCAGAAAATAAAATTAGAATCAGTGTGGACTTGAGGGCTACGTACAGACAGAGCCCTCCAGATTCCAAATGCCCAAGATGAGATTGTGGTTTGGGTGAATTTGAATTAGAGTACTTTCCTGCTCTCCATTCATTACAAAAAGGGACCATCTTATTAGTACAAAAATAGCTCTGCATCATGCTTTAACTATACTCTCACCACTGCTGAAATAAATAAATGCCACAAGTGTTATAAATGCCCTGTGATTTCTATTAACTACATAATACCTCCTCGTCCTGTTCTCCACCTAGTTTTGGGTCTCTGACCTCATAAACTACTACTGACTTCCTAGGGTGGGGGGGCAAGCAGAGTGCTAGGCTAGGTCTTCCCCAGGTCACTGTAGACCTGGGTATATGCAGGACAGGAGGGAGCGCAGAAGCTAGGGGATGTGGGGGGCGCACTGCAGCTCTAGGTGGCCTCTGACCCAGTGCAGCCGCGTGCACACTGCCTACCACGCATCCCAAGAGAAGCTCGCGGCCACGGTACCTTGACAGATGGGGAGGTTGTCCCACGTGCCGTCCTCGCGGCACAGTGAAGCCACGCTGTACAGGTCGGGGTAGCGGATCCTGAATCCCTCGTGACAGGTGATGACCAGCTTGTCTCCGTGTCTGTACGTCTTGTTATGAATCTCAGCATCTTCAACTTGAGGGATGTGGCAATCTACAAGTGTGTGGAAGGTGCACATTACTTTCGGAATCTAAAGTCATTAACTGCTTCACAAGAAAACTCAGTGGGACCCGGTCTCAGCCTCCAGGGCAGCTCGACACCTCCATGGGGTAACAGGGTTCAGGCAGGTACGGCTCTACACTGCACTGCGGTCTTTTTTTGTTTGTTTGTTTGTTTTGTTTTGCAGTACTAGGGATTGAACTCAGGACCTTCTGCTTGCCAGGCAAGCGCTTATTCTGCACCGTGGTCTTGTGAACAGCTTGGGAAACCGCACGGACAAGAGCTGGGGTCTGCCTGTGCTGGTGGTGCCTTCTGCTGATGCATCGGGGACAGGACATGGCCCCATGCCACCCACCCACTTTGTGTGCTCCCTAAGCCCAGTGAGAAAGCGAGGTGCACACACGGCTTAAAAAAGCCTGTACCAGCCGGCCCGCACAGCTCCTGTCCAGTGAAGCTGTGCTCGAAAGGCAGGTGGAGCAGCCTGAGCCTGCCCCCCCAGTCGTGGGTTCTTATCTTTCTTTAAACAAAGAAAGTCTAAGGACATAGTCCATCAGTCACAGAAACGTCTGGAGAAAGCCCTGCCTGCTCCAGAGCCTGCGGCCTCTCAGCTGCTCAGGGCCTGCTGGACCCGAGGTACAGAGGTGCGGTACTGCCGGAGCCTTGACTTCCAGCAGCCCTGGGCTCTGGCCCTGCACCTGCCCGGGCCACAGGAAGGAGCTGTGGTGCCTGAAGGGTGCTGGGAAGCGTGGGTGCCTTCCAGCAGGATCCCAGGAGCCGTGCACGGGGCTGGGCTGGAGTCGCAGGAGGACACGGGAACCTGACAGATGAATTCAGGAGACAGATGCCAGCGAAGGGGACGACCAGGCAGAGTGGCTCCCGCACAGGAAGGAAGGGGCGGTGCCAGCCCGCTGCCCAGCGTGGGCACTGGGAGTCACTGTGTGCTCAGTAGGACGCCTTCCCCAGCCCTTGTCACCATTAGCTGGCGAGCGGGGCCTGTATCACCCGCCCCCTCTGTGCCCCTTCCTCTGCACACCTGCATGCACACTGGCGAGGAGGAACCGCGGGTGGCGTGGCCTGACCTGCCCCCAGAGCTGGGCATGGCCCCACCGCCTGGCCCTGGGAACCTGGCCTCCACCTCCCCAGGCCCATAGGCCCCGGGGGGTCCTGGCTGGGCTGCCTCTGGTTCCGGCTTGATCTCGCACACTTGCGTTTTAGGTAGTGCTCCTGCAGGGGTGGCTGAGTTCCCTGATGGTGACCCCAGGACAGTCCTGTGGAGCTGCAGCCAAATGCACAGCTGTGTGCCACACAGATCCCACCACCAGTGTCCTAACGCGAAGTATGGCCATGCCTTTCCAGTGCCACCATGGGGAAACTATTCACAGCAAAGGAAAACACATTTATCAAAGCACCTATCTATATAACCCTGGCTGTAAATAGACCCTATGGCAGTAATTTGTATGTCTAAGCAATTATTTTCAGGATGGACATATAATCTGCTCAAGAATTAATTAGCTGGTGTACTCGCAAGCAACAGCCAGTTGTAAAGATTGCCGAGATGTCAGACTTGTGGACGCTGGTGGCCGGGGCAGAGGACTCCAGCCAGCCAGCAGGTGGTTCAGAGCACGCCATGCAGACTGGGCCTGCCGCAGAGCAGAAGATGCGAGGTCTGCAGCGAATGCCAGGCCCTGAGTTCCATGGTGTGCCCCTGAAGGCGGCAGGGAGGGCCACAGGGCCCCTGCCACTGCAGGGCTGCATGCCCCAGCGAGTAAGGTGGAGAAGCAAGAGGCCACGCCGGGAGAGCTAAGTGGGCGAAGCGCGGCTCCCGCGAAGCCCTGCGCCTGGGCGGGCGGAAGCGCAGCCCGAGCTGTGCACAGGCAGGCCACGTCCACACAGACCCGTGGAAGTCAAAGACAGTGGAGGGGGAGCCGTTGAGCACCCCGCCCGTGCAGCTGCCCAGGATGCACCGCAGCGCGGCGGAACCCCCAGGAATTCCCTCTCCCGGTTGGCCGGCTCTGGGCCCGCCCAGCAGGGAAACAGTGCTGGCCAGCACCCCACCGGGCCGGCAGACCCAAATCCGGACTCTGGTAGGTTTCCATGGAAGGCACACATATCACTTACATCCTCGAGCGGCTGAAAGATTTTTTTTTTTTAAATGTATGTATTTGGTACAGGGTTGCACAGGGGCTGAAAGGTTGTAAGCTGAGCCACTGTTAATCGGGGATTCTGCATGACCCAGTTGCCCATTGATTAAATTCATCTACTCAACAAGGAGAGTCTTAAAAGCCACGTCAAACATATCATTACCAAGGACTCTAGAAAATATCGATGTTCAGGTCTGACACGTGGAATCCTGTCAACAATTACAACTTAGACCGCGTGTGGTGGGGCAGGCCAGAAGCCGGAGGACAGAAGGTCAGAACCATCCTGGGCACACTGAGGGCTTAGCAAGACCTCAAGAATAAAAGGTAGACACGAAGGCTGGAGATGCAGCTCGTGCCACAGGCCCGGGAACCCCCAGTACTGCAGGTTAGTGAATTAATTAGCACTCAGGGGTGGGAGCTGTCTTTCCCATCACCCCATCAGTGATTCCCTACACCGCGCTCCTGGGGACAACGGCATTCGATGTAATGAGTCCATGAAGAGGGGATGAGGATCCTGGGGCTGAATTGGACCTTTATACCTAAGAACACATTAACTTCCTGACTGCTGAGCGAGGAGGGAAACCCAAGGGACAGGGTAAGACATTTCCAAGGACGTGGGCCTCATACCAGATTTATTCTCATTTAACATCTTGGTTATATGTGAAAATAAATTTGATTTTTAAGAAATGCTCTTTCCACACCAGTACACCCCCAAACCATCCCCTGGAGCACAGATGCCAGGCACGCAATGGAGACTTGCAATTCACGTTAGTGTGGCGAAGGCCCGAGACCACTATGTAAAGAACTCTGCTTCCAGTTATTCAAGCTGGCATTTGGGATGCCTGTTAATTCGTCCATCCTCTCCTCCGCTCTTGAGTGAGCTGCCGAGAGCACTATGCAGGGCTAGCAGGTCCTAGGGGACAGAGAAGCCAAGAATGTCACTCACAGCACTTGCCTGCAGGGAGGGAGGGGCAGCAAGAGATGAGCTGGAATGAGATGCTCAGCACTGTGATAAACCATGCGGCTACAGGACTGTGCCTGACTCGAGGACTCAGGTAGATGGGAAAGAGGTCTCTGGGGGCTCAGGCAGATGGGGAAGGGGCCTCCAGGGAAATGACATTTATTAAGCTGAGCTCTGAAGGGCCAGCGAGATGGCTCAGCAGACTAAGCACCTGCTTAGGGAAGAGCAAGGACCGGGTTCGATCCCCTGCACCGCATGCCACACTGGCCCTGCCCCTGGGTGCACTGAGCCAACAACTGAGACCAGGTGTGGTGGTATACGCCTGTAATCCCAGTGCTGGGGAGGCTGAAAACAGGAGGATCACCACAAGTCCAAGCTGCGGAGTAAGATCCTGTACCAAATACATAAAAAACAAAACAAAAAACAGACTGAAGCTGAAATCTGAGTGACAAGGATTCAGTTACGTCTGCATCCTGGAGCAGTCATACTGGGCAGGAAAGAGCATGGCGCTGGCCAAGTACACACCCAGAAAGGGCTGTGTGTGGAGCACAGGCACCCAGGGCAGGCGGGAAGCTGGACCCAGGGACCTGCGGGTCAGAGCAGGGCTGTAGGCCCTGAGTCCCTGTGACATGCACAGCGCAACCTGGCCTAGAACCCCTGAGCTCGCCAGGCATGCAGTGAGGTATGGGCCTCTCCAGAGAGAGGTGGGTCTCTGTCCCCAGCCCCATGAGGCCCCAGGGTGTTGCCTGCGGCGAGCACCTCTATATCCCCACTTCCCCGATGGGACATCCTGCATAGTGGGCACCCACAACGTGGTTGAGGCTGGGGACCCGGGGCCACATGGCCTCAGCTCAGCTTCTGGGGGCCTGGAGGCCGAGGCAGCACGCCATGGACCTCTTGACCCTTGAGTTTCCCAAGTTGCCAACAGCGCGTGTCTGTTGTCACTCACAGTGGTGCAGAGAGACTCACCGCCCACAGCTCCCCTGCACAGTGCAGCTGTGGCTGCCCACTGGGGACACAGGGACCCTGCCGTGGGTCACTCAGTTCCCGCAGCTGGTTCAGCTGTGTCTTTTCACTGAAAGAAACCCTGGCCAAGAGCAAGGTGACTTGCCTGAGCTCTGTGAGTCCTTCCAGCGAGCTAGTGAGCTGCTGGGCCTTGGAGACCTTGGCACTTGCAGCTGGAGTCAGGACAGGGGTCTGGGGACCCTGAACTTTAGCATGGTGTCCTTTCTTCACTTGGCCCCTGCCGACACCCCCAGGTTCACTCCTCGCAGCTAGTGCTGTCCCTCCTTCTCTGTGGGGAAGAGCCACCCCCCACAAAGAGCCCAGAGGACAGTGTGCTGACCACCATACCTGGAGCAGGCCACCCACACTGAGCAGAGCCAGCCCAGCTGTCGACACAGGCAGAGCAGAAGAGGAGAGAGCTCTGCTCAGAAAGCGGGGACAGGGCCAGCCAAATAGCTCAGCGGGCGTGGTTAGCCAACACTCTGGCCCTAGCCTTTCAAGGTCAGTGAAGACTCGGGACATAGGAGAACCTGTACTGTAACAACATGTAACTCAGTTGTGCTCCAAATTTTCTGATCAAGAAGATTATGGAGCCACAGAGAAATGTGTTCGAGGATCTAAAGTGAGCCTGGGGGAGAGTCACATGGAGAGAAAACATTCTCTCAGGCTTTCACAGAGAGCAAATTGGTCAAGCAATGGCCGTGACTCGTCCTCATGTCAGACACTGACAAAAGGATGTACAAAAGGCGGTACAGGGCTACAGGATAAATCCTGAGAGTATTTGGCTGACCTTATCAAATACAAAAGTTACATTTCTTGTTATATAGGTCTTGCTATATCTTGGTCTTAACCATCCAGCAGAAAAGTATAAAAATGAGGTATATAAA